TATAAACGTTGCGTCTTCAATGCAACAGGGAAATCAACTCTTGTATAACGCGATGGAATATATATTAATATAATATTATATAAAATATATAAGAATGATTTCTGTGCAAGAAGTGAGACAAGACTGTGCGTCGGTTTCTCGCGAATACGAACTTGAATTCTATCATCGAATATAGAAAATATCGATTCTCCTACGCTTTCTCTTCGATGTAACGAAAACACCAAGTAACGGGAATTCTTTGATTTATTTCAGAGGCCGGCCATTACGTTCGTTAATTAAAATAATATGAAGTAGCACAAACGTGATCTTCCCGACACGACGATTTATTTTAGGAGGATAGACATGACACCCTCGACTGGCAATACCGTGTATTTATGTTACATATAAGTATTGTACTTAAGTGATTTACGTTTGCGTTTACTCTTCTCTAGAAATAATAAATGACGTATCGGATATACAATCGCTAATAATACTTCTGGCGGAACCAACACTTGCGTGTTTGTATAGAAACCTATATACAAATGTATAAACGCCAAAAGAAAAGACGAATTATGAGAAAAAACAAGCGTTTCTGTTAATTCTTTGCCTGAATCTCATAAATTCGTTAAACAATTGAAAGTTGAAAGAGTATAACTCTACGAAGAGTTGAAAGAGTATAACTCTACAAAACCTATGAGAGATTAAATAAATCTCTCACATTTAGAAGCGGAAAAGATTTTTTGTGAAAATTTTAAGTTTTATGATATCTAAAGTGTTTTTAAAAATACCATTAAATTGTATGCAAAGATCATATTTTCATGGCTAGAATAAATAAGAAAAAAAAAGAAAATAATTTAAATTATGTTTTTTTTTTAAATATCGTTGAATAATTTCATAATTCGAATAATTTCATTATTTTTGTATCGTTTTGAGTCTTACATATTTTCTGTTTTATTTTATATCTTCTAAAGATTTTCAACAATTTGAAAACTGACACAAAATCGATTTTTAGAGGTACCTATTCGAATAAAATTTCTGTGTTCCATTTTTCAAAATTGAAAACAGGATTAAGAGCATCGATTTTATATTTTTGCGAAAGCAAGTTCGTTGTACGAATAACTCTGCTGCGAAAAACTTTATAAAATCTGCTTTTTATAGCTGAACTAGTGTACACTTTCTACATTTAAAAGATTTGTTCTTTTTAGCTAAACTTCTTGCACACAGTTGACACATCTTGTCTCTTTTTTCCTCAACGCGAAAAGAAAATAAACATTCTGCTGAACACAGAACACAGAATTTCTAGTAATTTATTAAAACGCAAACAATTCGGCAGGAAAACAGGCATCGTATGGTGCAGTTTAAAAAAAAATCGCTTGTATAAGAAAGTCACTGTAATGGCGCGCAGTACTTAAAGGGTTAACAAAAATTGCAATACCAAATAACAAAAGACATCTTCAGGGGCTGCGCACAATGAAAGAAATAGGGAACAGGGAATAGAGAATAAGAATTTTAACCTATCAGAAAATCATGTATTGTGGAATACATAGTTTCTGATAAGTTGAAATTCTTATGGTGAATTTCACTCGCACTGGATTAGTGCATATTAAAAGCTGATTTATATAAAATATCTCAATGGAATGATACAATATAATCAACTTTGACAATAAAATGATACACATTTATTTTGTTAAATAACGTGACAATCCCGCATAAAGTATAGGTACTACTAGTGCAATAAATAAATTCGAGTAATATATATATGTAATAATGGTGGAGAAAATCTCATTAAAATTACACTGAAATTTTATTGTGAAAATAAGTATTATTGATTAGCATATTTCAGAGGATACGCAGCAAAATTATGTAGTAGAAAAGAGAGAGATGACGCGGAATTTTCCCGAAGGATTTAACGAGGAGAAGCAGGTGCGGATTTGTTCGTTCATGTTCGAGTACGGGTTGCCGGCAGGATCGTAGTAACTGCGATCGCGAGGTAGAGCGCGACCAATCAGGTGGGTCAGCTTTGAGCGAACCAATAGGAGAGAACAGCAGATCGTGCGCTGCTGGGCCCGGAAAAACGGGACGACATTTCCTAGCCGCGTTTCTCGATGTCTCAAAAATAAAAAAACTTGTACTATCATCCTTTTCGAGTCGTTTTCTTCGGCTTTTAACAGCAACGGCTTTTTCCTTTTTATTTCTTATTGTTCCCCTTAAAGTTATAATAAAAAAAAGTTTCTTTTATGAATTCTAGAACTAATTTTAGTGTAATTTTTTAATGAAATTTTCTCCACCACTATTACACTATTCGAATTTATTGCACTAGTAGTATATTTTTATGCGGGATATTATTAGTAGATATTTAAACTGAATATTATCCTCACCCATTTTGTGACCAAATTATATAACAATAGTAAAGATTTAAACTTATTTAATAACTTCTTGCTCGTATGATGCTATGCAACTAAATTAAAAATTGGATAACTTCCCAGGTCAAAGTTAAACGACCTAAAATTAAGGTGATAAAACAAAATAACCTTTATTACAATATCATTTAATCAATAATCTATAACCATGAAACGTTTCGATTTCACTAAGTCATTTTCAGTCATAATACAATAAATATAATATTAAAAAATCCCATAAATGTGTAACTACAAAAACTTAACTAAACATTATAATATTATAAGGATCATCTCACTACCATTTACAATTTCAAAAAGTGTAAATGAGATGTAATCCTTATAATCTTGTAATTAATATCAATCCAACGCTTTAACAAATAACAAACATGTTCGCCAAACGTATAGTAAATAAAATCAAAATTAAATCGGTGAAATTTAAATTGAGTTAAATACATTAAAAAGCGCCAATAACAGTCTGAACGTTAAGATGTTGAACTATTTTAAATTCATTTTTAAATGAATTAATTTTCAGAAATTATAATTGCGTGCCGATATGGTTGTCGGACTTTCAACGCAATCAAATCTGAAATACCATATTAATAATCCCCCCAAAATTCCCAACTTAAAAATTGTAATAAACTTATTTTGCGAAAAATAATGCCTCGGCCGGGAGTCGAAGTTTTTAAGTTGGGAATTTTGGGAGGATTATTAATATTTCAGATTTGATTGCGTTGAAAGTCCGACAACCATATCGGCACGCAATTATAATTTCTGAAAATTAATTCATTTAAAAATGAATTTAAAATAGTTCAACATCTTAACGTTCAGACCGTTATTGGCGCTTCTTAATTTAATGTATTTAACATAAGCGGTCTTTCAATCTTATTATTGTTAAATTGAGTTATTGTTAGTAGATAGTTAATCGTTTAAAATATTTATATACTTTTACATTTAACTTTGCTAATTTCATGTAAAGCAGCTTTTAGTATGCACTAATCTAGCGTAGTGCAAGTTGGTGCGAGTGACCGAATTCGCTATTATTCTTTGTTTCCTATTCTCCCTATTCCTTTCATTATGCGGAGGAAGCCCCTTCAACGGTCAAGCAACGGCCATCTGTGCCAACAGCCGCGTACTAGCTGGTGCGACAACCGGAGCTCGAACATGAAACTTGAACATGAAAGTTTCGAATCCGCCAAACTTGCGGACACAAAATAGCATACAGAAAACGCACTTACCAAGCTGCGGCACCGACATGTATGTTTCACAATCCACCAGGAACTGCCCCACCTGCACCGCGCCGAGAGCGACGACTCTCTTTGTCAGGAATTCGATGGTCTGCGGCCCGGTCCGGTTCTCGATCATCGGGTACTGTTGCAACCTGTCGACAACAAACGCAAATCATTCTTTCAAATTGCTGCACTCAGACGAGTATCGTCGATTATCGCATATCCCGCAGTGGCGGGCGAGCGACATAACCTAACTTCTGCGCGTCCGCCGGAAGGACGCGACATACGCATTTCTCTTTTGCGATCAATCGTGCAATGAAAAATCATTCGAACGTTTACAGAAGCGAATGATACTTACACGGTGACACCCATTGTATGAGCTCCGTCGTTATCACACAATGAATTCCGAACAGAATAAACGTCGCGAAACAGACACTACTTTACTGCCCGGCGAACACTTGTCGAATGTCGCGTCTCCGTAATGTCGTGTTACTGTAATTCGCGCGCGATTTGAAACAATGTCACACCGGCGCGCCATCTGATTTTTTTATCGAGAAACGTTTTGCCTTATTAATATAATTTAATATTAAAAAATAAAATAAGTAAAAATTAATAAAAAAATTAACTAAAAATAAGCTGTTTTTCCAGAAGACGCCTTTCGCCTTTAATTTCAAATTCTTTTGATATATTAATATATTTTTAATATTTTCACTGTGTCTTTTTTAGGTTTAATTATTCTCCAATGTTTAGTTATTATATTCATAACGCATATTCTGTAGAATATAATCTAGCGTATAATAAAACTAAATAATATACATACAAAAAAATTATAAAACTATAACAAAATCAAAGGCGTCGATTATTATATTTGAGAATGTCTTAAGTATAGTCTTAAGATATCATCAGCCAATTAGGGCTGCATTAGCATCTTAAGACATTACTTAAGACGGTCTTAAAATAAGAACGGATTATGAATCCTGGCGAAAATTGTTCTCATAATTTTTATACGAATTGGAACATTTTTCAGAAATACTCAGAAATATTCGGAAAGTTTACATCTTCTCTCAGAATTTTCCATACAAGTGAATTCTGAAATATTCTGAAATTTCTCATCCTATAATATTTTTATAAAATATTTTTTAATTTTTTAGATTTTATAATATTACATCAGAAATTATACTTACAAAAACTTTTAGAAATCTCTTACAATATTTCATAAGTAATATGTATGAAAAATTCTGAGAAAAACTTTCGCCAGGGAATACCAGCCAAAAACCATATTAATATGTTATCCATCGAAAATATTCGTAAGCGTGGCTACATAGTTCAACATGCACGTTTTAGAGGCGCCAGTAAACAGATTCCACATAAACAAACAAGCAGCAGCGCACTTAGCAATTCCGCGATGAATTAACGAAGAATGGCAGTCGATCCAGTCGATCTTCGTCAGTCCGTCTCTGTTAAATGTCCAACTCCAGCGAGGATCGCAGAATAGCGATTTGTTCGTGACGTTTTCGCTTGTAGAGATGGCCGCGAAGGAGCCGATCGTTGTTGAATCGATCGATAGCGGCATAGCCGAGCCCGGGATTGAGCCCGGCGCCTCCACGGAGACGATGCTCGTCACCACTGACAGCTTCGACGAGTACGAGCAGGAGATGAGCGGCAGCATCGACGGTGACAGGCAGATGAAGGAGAGTATCACCAGCACCATCTCCGAGATCCAGGAGGACGTTGTGCAAGACAATTCCACTACCGCCGATCCGGGAGAATCCGAAAAAAACCTTTCCCTAAACGACGCAGAGATGGTTAGGCTTCTGTGCGGAATCGCCTGTTTTTTCATAAATTTGGGATACACAAATTTGAAATCAATATTGTAAATTAAACTGGATGAATTATCACATTTTAGGATGATGTTGCGCATCGTTTGTGCCAAAGTAATCTAGATGGAGACCCATTGCGTTGCAAAGCATGGCTGGCACAGAAGAAGCATATTTTTATTTTGAGTCAGGCGGGAAAACCGATATATTCTAGATACAGTTCAGAAGATAAACTAGTCACAGTTATGGGAGTCATGCAAGCTTTAGTGTCATTTGTTCAAACCGGGAGCGATATGATTAGATCGGTACACGCTGGCGACACGAACTTTGTTTTTGTTGTGAAGGGTCCATTGATCTTAGTAGCAGTGTCCAAAACCTTGGAAAGCGTACCTCAGCTCACTTTACAATTAACGTATATGTTATTTAAAACAATATCCTAACTTTTTAATAATATATCTGATACTTATACATATTTAATTCCAGATATGTATATAATCAGATAATCTCTGTATTGACACAGTCTCAGTTAAATAGAGTATACGATCAGAGAAGAAACTTTGATCTACGAAGGTTATTAAGTGGTAGCGAAAGACTGATAGATCATTTATTGAACTTTATGGACAGAGAGCCCGCTTTCTTTCTAGGAGCCATTAAATGTTTACCCTTACTTCCTTCTATGAGAAGTTCCATTACGCAGACCATCATTCAAACTTGTGCTAAGATTAAGGTACAAAAACATTTATGGAATGTACCAAACATTTGTGAAATTGGAATGAATTCAAATGTTGCTTTATTAAGAGAAATTTCTCTTTCAGAACTTAGTATTTGCAATACTTCTAGCTAACAATCAATTGGTTACACTAGTTAGAATGAATAAATTTTTCCTGCATCCAATGGATCTACACATAATACAAAATCTGGTGGACAGTTCCGAGTCGCTCAAAACTGCTGAGAGCTGGACACCGATATGTCTACCGAAATTTGATTCCAATGGATACATGCACGGTCATGTATCATATCTGGCAGAAGATTGCCAGGCATGTTTATTGCTACTAACCGTTGATAGGGACGTATTTTTCGTGCTATCGGAGGCCAAACAAGTAAGAATTATTGCAGAAAATAAAATTGATTAAATAAATTGAAAAATCATTTATATGGATGTCAATTTGATGTTAAATGTTTGATAGAAAATCGTGGAGAAATTGCGGCGAACAAATTGTCTAGAAGCAATAAATGAGTCCATGAACAAACCGACGGTAACGACTGCTGACATTGGATTACCCGAGATGCGACACATTTTATACAAATGTAAAAGCACCGCGCAATTTTGGAGTCCTGGGCTTCAACCACCTTACACAACGGATGACGAGATAGAACGGTAAGTGTGAATTTTTTTTTAAATAAACAATGTAACATCTGTATAATAAAAATAATACATTTTTTTAGATTATTGGGACTTTACCAGTGTTTGCATCACAGATTGCATTCTCCTAGTCGACCCTTGAAACTTATATTTCAACAGCTAGATAAGGAAACGATGTTAGCATGGGTAAGTAAAAATTTATATTCAAAATGAAATACTAATCGGGCTCTCGAAATTAAAAACAATAATATAATGTACGGACGATGAGAGCGTTACACAGTGCGGTAATTGGTTTGCAATTTATACAAGTCTAATAATATTCACATAATATATATATTAAAAATATACAGTGACCAGCTTATTTGGACGTTTCGATTTCTTTCAAACCATCTTCAGCAAATTCATTATCGTAGATATATGGACAATAGTTGGAAGATGTTGGAATTATGTTCTATGTGAGACCGAGGTCTCACATAATGAGTGTCTCTCTACTGTCTGGTTGGGAATTGCCTAATTTTTGTCTCTTCGCTGCTTAGCTAAGTGACTAACCTCCTTCTCCATAGATCACAAATCAGTTATTAGAGCGTAGTAAGTCAAATTATAAAAGATACGATTACAAGACGTAAAAATTTCCCGTTATTAAAATAAGTATAAGATATACAATATAACATATGTTATCCAGATGGAAGTCAGACAAGCAAGTATGAATTGCACACCAAATACCGCGCTGTGTAACACTCTCATCGTCCGTACATTATATTATTGTTTTTAAAAAATTTATATGGATCTATAATTTGATGGCGAATTTTCTTTAATAAAAAAAAAATATTTCTAGGTGGCTTCTGGTTTTGAATTATATGTAACATTTGAACCTCTGGTCACGAAACCAGATGCCATTGAGGCAGTGAGCAAGCTATTAAAGTGGATAAAGAAGGAAGAAGAGAGATTATTCATTCTAAACTCTCCTACGTTTTAAACATTGCCAAGTATTTTGTTTTTACAAAATACATAGAGAAGATAATACGTAAAATTGATAGAAATATTTTATTCGATCAAATTTCGAAAATATGTGAGATGCATCAAGGATTCCAAAGTAAAACATCATCATTATATATACGTTCCAAAAAAGGCAGGAATATAGTTATTATTCGTCCATTATTAAGCATTGATATATATCGATATTGCTATTTTGTTATTTAATAAAGCAATTGTAATATAATACAAATAATGTGAAAATGTACATATATTTGAATATGTTACAACAGATGCGATTCCGGATACACGTTGTAGTTTTAATACCGAATTCTTGTTATATACTGGCACTAAAAATATACGAGCATCGATAAGAGTATGAAAAAAGTTAAAGCTTACCAATTCATTTCTCTCATAGAAAATTTGACAAAAAGATTGTCCATATCACCATACTTCTTAATCTTAATGTCTAGTTCTGTCGCGTTCCCTTCTACGATCACGATCCCTTTCTCGTTCTCGTTCTCTCTCCCGCTCTCTATCATCTCTTCTATGACGATCTCTGTCCCTGTCCTTATCTTTGTGCGCCGATGAATGAGATTTTGGCGATTTGCTGCGTTTACGTTCTCTCCTGTCTCTATCCCTGTCCCTTTCCCTGCTTCTAGATCTTTGCTTTTCCTTGTCGGATTTCTTCTCGGTTCGAGAGTGCCTCTTATCCCTATCTCTGTGACGATCTCTGTCCCGTTCGTGATCGTCAGGTCTCTTGCGTGGTAATTCCTTAATTGGTGGAATTTCTTCTTCCTCTGATGATTCAATACCATCATCCATATCATCTTCCAATGCTGATATCTTCGCTTCTATATAACATAAATAAATATAAAACATCAAAATTTTTATTTGACAAAGGCTTTCAGATTCAATAGAATTACTTTTCGATGTGAGATATGGGCACTTGAGAACAAATACAGTTAAATTTAGTGTATATCTATTTCTGTATAATAATACCAAATAATAAGTTTATAACATTATTTTTTTATTAATACAAATGCTTCGACTTTGCTTAAGTCATATTTAGCGTATATCTCTGCTTATAATTTGAAGTTTTCATTACAATCGTATTAATAAAGAAATAATGTTATAACTTATTATTTGTATTATTATATGGAAATAGATACATGCTAAATTTAACTGCGTTTGCTCTCAAGTGCCCATAACTCACATCAAAACATAATAAATAAATATATAATAAAAAGATGGCTAAGAATAAAAGTAACATTAATGTAGAGGAAATACTTAACATACCTAACTCATTATTTTCTTCTAAAACATGTCTCTTTTGAATTCTCGGTAAAATAACATCACAACACCTTTCATCCCTAAGAAGAATGTCAATGAATTCGTCCATGTGTACGAGCTCGAATACACCCTGTTTATTCTGAATTCTGAGCTTTCTGTTGTCATTGAATAATGGTTCCAGATATTTGTAACAGTCTAGGGAAGAACCAGTCAGTCTCATGTACAGTGCACCCAAAGCCCGAACATATTTAAACTCTTCGTTCTTTATAAATTCAACTATGATATCCTTCTCAGGTTGTATTTGGAGCATTTTCAATATGAGGCATAGGAATGGGGTTGGCTTCACATTACCACCGTACACTCCTCCTAGAAATCTAAAAGAAAAAAATGTAATCAATTAGAAAAAACCCTTCTCACACGTATTAACACTTGTTTCCATAAATTCATCTGTTAAATGAATAAAAATAATTATATTCTTGGCAAAAGAAATCATTGCGTAGAGGTTATATTTTGTTTTTACTAACCTCAACTCCATTGCTTTGTCGACCAACAATTCGGCAGTTAAAGCAAAACATTCCTCTTTCCAGTACTTAGAATCGTATATCCGAGATCTGATAATCTTCTCAATCAAATATTGTGGATTTGTTCCGCGAATGGATTTAGCATCTTTCACCGTGCGGTTTGCCATTTTCGAATTCTATGACCAACTAGACTTGCTATCAATCTTCAATTGGAAGTCACCAGAGGACACTGATCACTGATTCGCCGGAAATGTATTTTGCGCGTCGAATTCATTTCTGATAAATGGGTGACGCACGAATCAGGTAAAAGAGAATAAACAGTGCACAGAAATTATCTAACGCAGAAACTGAATAAAAAATATATTTTTATAAATGTGTAATTATTTAACATATTTTACCTGCAGATATTCGATAATTCTATAATACAAAAAGTTTTGAAAGAAAGATATTAATATTATTTTTTACGAAAAAATGTTGATGTTTTTCTCTTAGAACTCTGAAACATTTATTCTACTGTCTATCAATAAGTCCACTATAAATGTACAAATAAAAAATCAATATTATATGTGCATAAATAATTTTATTTATCGATATATATAACATATTATTTATATAATTTCCAAAAAAAGATATATAGTATTATTTTCTCTTCGCTCTGAAGACTCATTAAAAATAGTAAATATGTTACGATCGATTAACAAAATATTAAGTATAATACATACATATGTTTATTTTGACTAGAGAAAATAATTCTTCAGATTTGTAAGTAATGAACCCGTTATGTTCAGACGGAGAAATCCGACAAAGCAATACACAGCGGCGTGCAACCTTTTTGGTGTCACCTTTCTCTTTGCGACCGTTTGGAGTCCGTGAGGGGACCCCTCACGACAGTCTCCTCTCTCCGGAGTCTCGCTCTTTCTCTGTCTTTCTTTCTCCCTATTTCCCTTCCTCGCACCTTCACCTGGCAACCTGGCTCACCTGAACGGCCATCTTGAAGCGCGCCGTCGTATCGCGTTCCTCGTCTTTCCACCAAGTCGCATTTTCCGCTCATCCTTGTAGCCGGCCGTAAGCTGCATGTGCAAAACCTCGCGACGTGCAGGAAGGCACCAGTGATCGCGCCGGTAACGTTTCGTCGCTTCGTAATCGTGCCTTCCATCTGGCTTGCTTTCTTTCCCTTCGCATATTCCGATAAGGTCCTGACATTGCTGACGTCATTAGTGTACTTTAGAACTTATCCAAGATTCTCAAGGAAGTGCCGTCTCCGTTACGGTAAGTTGGGTTTTCTGCCGGGCGAAAATTCACACGCGGCCAAACGTTCTATATTAATCATCATTCGTGAACGATAGTCGCGATTATTTATTTTTTAGGTCTAGAGATAACAGATTAGATTTTTTGGATACGTATATATATATACAGGGTGTCCCATAAAAATCGTAACAACACGTAAAGGGAACTAAGGTCATTTTAAGACAAAAATTCTAACATTAAAATATCGAGACTATATACTGTAAAAAGCTAGAGTTTAATTTAAAATGTTTAAAATCCGAACATAGTATTTTGTTTATTGAAACAGTTTAAAACTAAAACATCTTTAAATGTTTAAAAAACGGAGATAAAAATAAAACATTTTAATATCTTAAAATTGAACACTTCTTTTATGAGTACAATAGTTTTTGAATTACAAACATTTAAAGATAACGAATAATACCACTTAAAATTTGCGCGATCGGATATGATCCAACACAAAGTAAGAACTATAATTGTCGCCTCTTGTTAATATCGATAAAAAAAATATTTAAAATTTTATTCGAACTAATATCAATTTATTCAAGATTGAAATGAGCAGATATTACAATCATAATCAAATTAAACAATCATCTCTTGGCATTATTTAATCCTGACTAAATTATACGAGACTTAACTCAAAATATAATTTACTTTCTTATACTAAAATATTTTATTTAAAAACTTTTCTTTCTGGTATATTTGATGACTTCGTCTGCAAATATACGATTTTTTTCTATAAAATTTTTTATATTTTTTAGAGCTTTTTAATATTGACCCAAACATTGTGATCGTATAGTAAATTTCAGCAGAATTAAAAGACCTTGTTTTGTCAACAGCTCGTTCCACGTCCTTCTTCGTTTCAAGGCACGTCGTTTGAGCGAAGGAAAGGTACCTATTGATGCTGACCTAACAATTGGTGAACGTGCCTGAACGCGCCAGATCGTAAATGTCACGGACGGCGCAGCCGTTGGTTTAACGCGGATACGAGCGTGCGATCGTTTATGCTAGTGGGACCGGTGATGAAGAAACACGCTGGGAAGTGACTAGAAGATTCGTACTTATTGTGAAACAAAGAAGAAAGACAAGCTCCTACCCGATTCTGGAGAAAATCATTTGCGGAGGGAGAACGACTTAATCGCAAAATCCTCGTAGTTGTGTGTTGCTAGCGAAAGTACGTGAAGTATTCTTTGTTCGTGCGAGAAGTTACCTCTGAACGAACGCGCGTGTCTTACACAAGGCGATCCCATTGTTGTCGAACAATTGGACTTCGTGCAGGAGAACGACGTTCCAAGAACGACGACCTTCTGCCGCGGGTGTGATAACCGCGCGAGTCGGCGCGAAGAATCGCCGAGGATCTCTCGGTCTCTTTCACGATTTAATCAACGATTTATAGTTCCGCGGTCGTCTCTTCGTTCCGCGTATGGAATTCGCGGAGTCGATGTTATGGTCGAACGATTACGCGAGAAAGAATCGCTGTTAAACGACGTGCCGGTGGTTGGGACATCGAGTTTGCGTTGACGGGAAATCAACGATTGTCAAAATGGGTTCAAAGATCGAGTACGTCGAGTCCTCGCACATGTATGCGACCAATTACATCCGCAATTCCAAAGCGATCGGCGTGCTGTGGGGTATCTTTACCATATGTTATGCCATTATCGGCGTCGTTGCGTTTGTCACCCCGGAATGGCTCGGCGATCTGGAGCATGAGAATCCCGGAAGATTCGGTCTGTGGACCAGGTGCAGCTATGGTGGAAACGGTACGTTTGTACGCTGCGATTTTTATTTTTATTTCATTTTTAGTCCAAGGACAAGAAAGTCGAAATAATGTCCATTTAATGTCATATTGATCGATTATTGATCGAATTTATGTCACTTTTTTTATCATGATTCAGTCAATGATATTATTTCGATTTTTTTGTTCTTGGATATTTGATGTACTCTCTAAAGAATAGAATTTCACTCTAAAGAATGAAAATTTAGTCAATCTTGAAAAAGAGAGTGGCTCAATTTTTCATTTTTAAGAGAGATTTCACTTTTTAGAGTGAAATTCACTGTAAAAGTTTTAGAGAGTAAGAAAAATTTTTTTGTTTGACTGCAAATCGCTTATTTGCTATGAACAACTTAAAAATTTATTTTTGTTGCCATACCAAAAATAATAAGATTATTTCGAAATGATTTCGCTCATTTGCTATAAAACAAGAATATAATTCAGAAAATAGTTTTCCAAAAAAATTGTCATTTTTAGTTGCTTGTAAAAAAAACAAAAACATAAAGAAAAAAGAGACAGACATACCTTTATTCCTCTATAATTAGTTATTACAGCAAAATTATACATTGTAAAGTTAATATTACCAAATCATAATGATTGAAAATATTCAAACTTTTTATGGAACTTTGTTTTTTTTTTTAGTTGTATCGTTGTTGTAGCAAATAATCTAATTTATATATTATTTTTGATGTGACAAATGAAAATAGGTTTAGTTTATAATTCAACGTAAAAACATTTTACATACATATAATTACTAATCTTGGTACTTCCTTATAATAACTAGTCTACATTCCAAGACTCAGAGATAATTATTTAAACTACATTATTAATTCAAACGGTTTCGTAATTACATAGGTGAGTTAGGCGAGGAATGTATCGGCCGGCTGGACGACCTGTCGACCATCGCCAACGTTCCTTTCCGAGCCAGCACGATTCTAGTCGGCATCGCGGTGATAATCGCGCTACTGGCGATCTGCGCAATGCTCATGTTCTTCTTTTGTCAAAGCACCACCGTGTTCTACATGTGCGCTTGGATGCAAGTGGTGTCAGGTAATTATCCAGTCCCGCCTCACGGAAAGCATCTCTAAATCCGGTATTCATAGTCCGTTCTTATTTTAAGACCGTCTTAAGTAAGACTATCTTAAGATGCTAGTATAGCCCCCTGATTGGCTTATGACATCTTAAGACTGTTTTAAATGTAAATCGATTATGAATACCTGCCTAAGTGCTAAATGTCGCATGATAAATGTACGCCAGGCACGTTCCACAACTGGCGCGTCTGCTTTAGAAAGCGCAACATTAGCCAGGCTGATCCTCACGGCCCGTTACTCGCAATCTCAACCGTAATTCCTTATCAGCGAGATGCAATTGCAAATTGCGCTAATGCGCTGAGCCGGATCCCATTCGCGCGGGCCCGGGAAGTGAAGTAATCACCCTGTTTAACGCGCTTTATTGTGGTGAACTTTATCGATCAGTTTCATCTCTGACTGCGGAGATAACGATTTTAAAACGACGCCGGTCGTAATCGGAAATTACTCTCATGTCATGGTTTCACGCCTACGAGAAAATTCTTTCGCAAAAATCTCGCGTAGAAGAGATCTCTCTCGAATGAGAGAGATCTCGTTAAACTTATTAAATATGTGTGCCAAATAATTAAAAGGTATTCGTAATTTCTCGAACATGCTATTCGTGAATACCGCATCGATCTTTTTATTCGGTTAGAAAGCGCACAGTAACCGCAGAGGATTGTCCAACGTTGCTTGCGTAACGGCTGAAATAATAATAATGGTATTGCAAGAATAACTGCTTCATTGATGAATGACGTGTCATCAGAGACGTCCACGTTGGCTGAATCGTTAGAAGAGTTACTAAGCAGTTCTTTTATGCATATATTATTTTCTTTTCAATACATGTATTATTTCCTCTTCAATATATATTTAGACTACAAAAAGGGCATTCTAAAATATTTCTTCACAGAATAATAAAGAAATAAGGAACGTTACGATACAATAAATCTGTTCCTTTTAACTAAACTTCTTGTATAATATAATAGATCTATTCTTTTTAGTTGAACTTCTTGCACAGTTCACTTTTCTCTTTTTTTTCTCTACATTGGAAAAAGAAGAGAAAAGATGAACCGTGA